AGTGCCTGTGATCAGCAACAATGGCTGATATATATATATATATATATAATGGGCCTGTATTTACATGTATGAACAATGACTGCCTTACCTTAGGCCTAGGCGGACTTTTAGAAGCCCCTGATCCCATCTTATTTAGCTGCTAGGTTTGTTCTGAAAAAGAGTGTTACACTTTTAGCCCAATGAAGCGAAATTAAACCATTAAAACGATTAAAACGATCAATAAAGCCTAAAAACACGCCAGAAATAACCCAAACCTCTGCCTGGAGAGTACCGAGTATCTCATCCTGGCATGTGAGTGTCCTAGACACGACTATGATTTAGGCAAACTTTCCATCTCACAACATACAGGCGGGTCACGGCATGTGCGACTTACTAAAGTACAGTTTTACTGTAGGACATGCTGGTTTGTGCAAAGTGACTTTGCGTTGCCTCACGTTTTCAGTTAAGGGACGCACCCTTGGCCTTCATCTTATCGATAAGTGCGTTGTGTTCTTCAAAGTGCCATGGTTTATCGCCAGAGACTAGCTCCCACACAAACACGAGGGCAGGTAAGCCCCACTCAAACACATAACACACAGACATACCGCCGATCTTGTGCTCTTGGGAAAGGCACTTAACACGATTTTCCTCACTTCACTCAAGTGAAAATGTCAGTGTGCTGTCTGTCCTGTATTTGCTTCTATGTTTGGGACACAACATCAGCAACAGCTGCCTTTGTCCCACGTATATTGTGCTGTTACAATTTCAATAAATCTAATAAATTAAATCAAATCAAACACAAAATACTGTGCGTCAGGTTGTCGTGACTCTAGTCTGACCTATAGCTAGGGGTTGTTGGGGGTTGGTCTCCGAGTTGAAATGTATGTTCACAGCATACATGTGTCAACGTATAATGTTACACCTATTCACCTCTCCTAAAGACGGTGTATGTTATTATGTTCCATCTGTGAATAGTTTCATCAGGTAGTTAAGACACTGAGTAAAGATACTCTTTTTTACACAACCAAGTCTTTTATTCAGCCGACGTTTGGGGGACCGTCTGTCACCTTCCTCAGGGCAATTCTGACTGGCTCACACTGAGGAAGGTGACAGACGGTCATCGAAACGTCGGCTGAATAAATAAAAGACTTTGTTGTGTAAAAAGAGTCTCTGTAATATGTTATGTTGTTTGTTTTTTTATCGTTCAGGGGCTATGTTTGCTTAACAGCCAACGACATACCGTTTGTGATACCATGTTTGCGTTGTCAAAGCTTTTTGACGCCAAGGCGGGATCATGATTTCCAGCACTACCCCCCCCATGCAGGCCCTCAAATAGTCCTGGCAGAAGTATTGGGCCCGTTATGTACCATTTATTCATTATATTTAATTTTGTATAGTTTAGAGGAGGAGGGCCTTGTATAAGCATTCCATGCTTCTCCCCTCCTCCTGCACCTGTTTTTATCCTTGTTTTGTATTATTACTGCCTTTTTTGTTTAATGTACAAACTAATAAAATTACAAAGCACAAAAAATCACAGTATATTCCTTATTGTTCCAAATATATTTTGGTACTCTTTATCTAATAATTTATATTTTCGTAAGCCTGTCGGGCTTTTCACAATAAAGGCCGTGTAGTTTTCTCGCTCACAAGTTTCCCCACAAAGAAAACTGCCCCTCCTTTCTTCCCAGAAAAAATGAGTCATTTCCGTTACCAGGTTTGGGGCGGGTCCGGGTAACCGTGCTGTACGTTTGGAAAGGTCCTTGGAGGTGCCATGGAAATGAAACCTGATAGGGTTACGTAGTCGCCTAGCCTGGGTGCCAGACCCCGCACTTAGAAGAGGGCCTGCATGGGGGGGGGGGGACCTTTACGCTTTGCGGCTGATGTACTATTACGAATTACGATGATTTTGGGTGTAGGCTGCCTATGAATTACGAAGATTAAAATGGCCTGATTACGCCTTACAAAAAAGGGCATGCAGGCCCCCTTAGAGTAAAAAAAAAAAAGAAAATTAACTAATCCCGTCGACAGAGTCTTTGCCCAACACGTCCCAGTCTAGGACCACGTCCACCGACGCTCTGGCGTAGTTAGCGACAATACGGAGCCGGTCACCCAGGCTACCGAATCTCCACGACTCAAGAACTCAGTACATACGTACAGTGCCGATTCATAAATTCCGCAAAAAGCCAGCATGTACCGGCTTGTCGTGTGCGTCGTCGCTATGTACTACCGCAAATTCACAATACGAGCAAGGGAGTTGGTTCGCTCTAGAGTACAGTTTGCCGCTTCTACTCTTTCCAGCCGCCTTCCGAAGCCTGGTAGAGGCTATTATTACCAGGCTACCATGTTGTTAAGTAAACTAAACTGGAGTACGTCATCCAAGTACGTGAACTTCAACATAACTAGCAACGATTAACGGTATATTCAGACGTTGGGCGCCTTGTTTGAAGTCCTGAACTGTGATTCCTACAGCTAAGCGATGGGGGCCAGTTTTAAGGACGGGGTGGGAAATTATTGCTTATATTGTACATGGACAGTTCATCAGCTAAGCCCTTTTAACAACACCAAGAAATAAAAAGAATTCTTGAATACCTCGTCTGTCTGGAAAGAAGCTGACTGGTTCCAAAAGACTTGGGTCGAGTTTTTTTCGTCCGATAAGTCCGTTAGATTGATCTGTTGAGAAGTCGGCGCAGTTTCTTCCCGCGTCCCGTCTTCACAGTACAGGCCGTGCGGTGTCTCGCTCAAAACTGTTTCCCCACAGGAAAACCTGCTTCAATTGTTCCGCCGTCTTGTTCCCAGAAAAAAAGAGTCATTTCCGTCACCAGGTGCTGAGACGTTGCGGGGCGGGTCGTCATGGAAAGGGAAAGTGATACGGTCACGTGATCCGGCTGCTCCAATCCCGTGGTTTGACTGAGAACACAGGACAACCCATATCTATGACGCGGGTGTATAAATTAGTGCGGGCAGATTTGTTTATAGAGCGGGTAGAAAGTCTTATGTGAGAGGCAGCCAAGTGTAAACATTGGGTTCTAGAAGTAGATCAGCTTTCAGACTGTATAGTTTATTTTGCTTGTTTTTCTGATTGTATTTCAGAATGCGGTTTGTAGAACGGTTTATTATTACAAGGACAAGAAATTGTACACACGAGCCCTGTAAAGAGCCAGACCGAATGATAAACCGCATTCTGAAATACAATCAGAAAAACAAGCAAAATAAACTATACGGCCTGAAAGCTTATCTATTTCTATAACAAATTATCGGTCTATCCACTGATGTCTGATCCTGTTCCTACAGTAGGTGATACACTTGCCCACATTGTCGAACCAGCAACTAAACAGATAGTATGCATTTTTTTCTCGTCCAGCTTTATAATGTGATGTGACTTTTTAGTGATCGGGACCTCTTTAATGCATCACACAAGCGACCCACATTGAAATGAAAACAAGGAGACTTGGTAATAAGTGCAGCTAATATCTTTTATTCACGGTATCAGGCTAGATGCCCTGGAGCTCAATGCAAGGCCAATTAATATGATTAAGGTTTTGAAATTTTCAAAAAGTCTAAATACTTTTCTCTGGTAGGGATTTGCTCTCAGACTGGTAGTCATTTGTGTCATGTATCCCCTTAAGATCAACTATAGAGAATCGTTGCAGTGTCCACTTGACGGAGGTCTAAATTACTAGTACATCTCTTTTGTTTTCCATTGTGGAACCCTTTACTCTAAAGAGAGCCCCCTAGCGGCGGCGATGGTCTGCTTGATGCAGTAGTTAAAGTTGACGGTGCAGGGAAGCAGGTTCAGCATGTCCTGCAAAACAGAGGGAACATGGGAAGCTTCCTTGTTAGAATCTGATTATTTATGGGGTGTTATCCTATTAATTCACCATATAGAGAAATCGTAAAGACTGAATGCGGCTACAGGACATGTCCACACAACTGTAGACGCAGAACACAGTGGATGATGATGATGATGATGATAGAGAAATCTTAATCTTCTTCTGGTAAATTGATGGGATAGTAGAGCTGCTAATTCACCACAAGAAGGCTGCTGTAACTCCTGGTGGTATACTGGGATAGAATTGTCTACCTATAGCTATCCCATGTAAAAAAAAAGTTAGCACATTTCTAAAGACTATATA